GTTTAGTTCAATGTCAATCCTCTCATTGTGAATCACCATAAGTGGTTTGCACCCACTCCCACCAACAATATTAATGTTTAAAACTTTATTGCAAACAAAAATTCAAATTTGTTCATATTTCATAATAATAATAATCATTATTATTATTCAAAAACAATCGAAAATCTATGTACCTGAAAAATATCTCAAAAATTACCTCAAAATTGAAGTATATGCCATAGATTCAAATTTTGTCGTGGTCATACTCAAATTATTCACATATTTTATTTTTGAGATAATTTTTAAGATTTTTTCTAGGTACCCAATATAAACTATTTAGAATATATCAACTACCTATTCTAATCTATAAACATGTTTTTTAGGATAAAATGGCATTTACAAACCAACATAGAACATTTTAATGTTTATGAACAAAATGGAAATCTTATGTATATTTCTATAGTAACATCAACTACTTAGGCATGTTGAGTGCATGTCTTATTAGATATGTCGAATACATATCCATACCACCCTTACTCAAATGTCGAGTATTTGACACATATACTTTACAAGTATAGAAGAGTCCACAAAATATGGGAAGGAGTAAAGGAGCCTAGTCAGGTTAATGACAAGTTTTTGGGTGTCTTGTATGGTTGGGTTTCAAGGAGAGTTTAAACCCGTCTCTTAAGGATAGGGATGTCAATGGATAACTTACCCTGTGGGTATCCATGGAGACCCAACTCGAATACATGAATCTTTCCTTTTTTTTCCTTATCCATTGGGTAGGGCAAGTGATATTCTTTAAATATCCACAGGGGATGGGTTGGGGATGGGTACCCACTAATTTCCCCATATGTTCTTTTTTTTGTTTTTTTGTTTTTTTAAGATTCACAACCAAAACTAAATATACATTCAATCTTTTTTCTTTTATTTATTTATTTATTTTTTCAAGTTCACAACCAACTTCTTCTTCTTCTTCATTTTTTTTTTTTAAGATCCACAACCAAAGCTAAATATACCTCCAATCTTTTTTTTTATTATTTTTAAGGTTCACAACCATTTTTTTTTAAAAAAATTTTAGATTCACAACCAAAGCTAAATATACATTCAATCTTTTTTCTTTTGTTTTTTTTTTATTATTTTTTTATTTTTTAAGGTTCACAGCCATTTTTTTTTTAAGATTCACAACCAAAGCTAAATATACATTCAATCTTATTTTATTTTATTTGGCTCAACAATAAAATCAAATACACTTTAATTAACATTGTCGCATTATTCTTGTCAAATTTTATGCATATCTAGAATTTTTTAAATTTATTTAAAAAAATTAAGGACACTGTCTAGTGCAGGCTTCGGTTTGCTTTTCTATGTTATTTTATTTTGTTATGTATTGTAATTTTCAGAATGGTTTGCTTGTTCTGAAATTTCAATTAACGAGCATGAATCTATTTGTTTTATGTTTTCACACAATTTATACAACATATATATATATATATATATATGAATGTATTTGAAAATAAGGAAATTGTAGAGAATCGAAACAAACATGAGTCGTGATTTGTTAGAAAGGATGTGTACAAAGATTTATTTGCTGGAAAAACAAAAAGGGGATACAAAGTCTTACTAAATAATTTTTTTTAAAATAAAAGAATTTTTCTTAGTTATGAACAGATTTAACTGAAATCAGCTTGTTTCCCAATGTTATGCTTCATTTATTTAGATAGAAAATATTTTTTAATGAAAAATATTTTTTATAAAAAAAATTCAAAATATATTTTTTTATATTTGGTGGTGGTGGTGATGGAACGAAAGTGAAAGTAGAAATTGTTACATAGTGGTGGGGTGATGGCGGCAGTGATGATGGTAGTGGCTATAGTGATGGTAGTGTGACAGTAAAGGTGAGAATAGTGGTGATGGTTTTGTGAAATTAGTAAAAATTTAATTGAAAAAATATTTTTTGTTTTTTAAAAGTAACAAACAACAAAATCCGTGGGGGACTAAAGGAAGAAGATAGAGGATGGATTGAGTGTGGTAAGGCATAGATATCTTAAAATGAGTGGTTTAGATTAAAGGTATAATTAGATTTTGGATAAATTAAAATGAATGGTTCAAATTTGCTAAGAGAAAGATGGTTTAATGTCTAAAATGTCCGTGGCTAAAAGATCAACAAACAATTCCTTGTCTATGCCCTGATGTAATTTAATATGGGTCTTATAACATTTTCTTCAAATAGATTCTTTCACATTTTATTTCTTCAAACATGCTCTTATAACATTGTAAACAGGTTCTTATAACATGCAGGGAAGAGAGTGAGAGAGTGAGAGAGAGAGAGAGATGGTTGTAATTTTTTTTTTTAATCTTCCATGTTCTTCCACATTTTTTTTAATTACTAAAACTTATTTGATTGTCTCAAAATTATATATTTGATTATTATAAAACAAACTTTTTAATTAATTAATTAATGTGTATTTGATTTTGTTGTTGAACCAAATAAAATAAAATAAGATTGAATGTATATTTAGTTTTTGTTGTGAACCTTAAAAACAAATAAAAAAATAAGTTGTTAACATTAAATATATTAAAAAAGAAAGAAAAAAGATTGAAGGTATATTTAGCTTTTGTTGTGAACCTTAAAAAAAAAAAAAAAAAAAAAGTTGTTAACATTAAATATATTAAAAAAGAAAGAAAAAATATTGAAGATATATTTAGCTTTTGTTGTGAACCTTAAAAAAAAAGAAAAGTTGTTAACATTAAATATAAAAAATAAAAATGGAAATTAAAGTGGATTGGAGAAAATCTAAACCCATTAGGAAATGGGGAGGGTGATGCCCATGGGGGAATGGGGAATGGAGAATGGGGAAAATTTATTATAGGGGAATGGGAATGGGGAATTTTTTGTGGCATTTTTTCTTTCTCACATTTCGAATAAATAGTTTTGTTGTATAAGGGAGGCACCTATTTGGGTGCCCTAATAAGGTTGTATTTAAAAAAAAAAAAAAAAAGAAAGAAAGAAAGTAATACCATTATTTTCATGATCCAATTCCCCGTAACATACTAGTTTTAATTTTTTTTTTTGCTTGTTTTATGTTTATAAAAGCAAATTGTTTTGTTAGAAAGAGAGAGCAGAGAGAGAGAGAGGAGTTCATATCATAATTTCATGTTTATGTTTCTTTGTAGGTGGTAATTTAGTTTGAACCTTCTGTCTATTCCTAGTTTTTGTTCTCATGCAAGGTGATTTGAATTTCTGTTCATGGACCTTTAAGTGGGAGCTTATGTTAGATTCTTGTAAATTAATGTTTTAGCTAACTAACCGAAAGGAAGGAATGTAGCTCAATCTATTCCAACTAAAAAACGGAGGGACCATGCAGACAAGGATCAAGGGAAGAGTGCCAGTGATAACCAAGATGGACGCTCCGACGGTTTCTCAATTTTCTCCTCCAGGACATTACCAACAGAAAAGGACTGAGAGGAGTTGATTGCATTAAAGGAACAAGTGGAAGATCTTCAAAGGAAATTATTAGAGAAAGAGGAACTCCTGAAATTAGCAGAGATTTCAAAGACCCAGATGACTTCCATGAATGCAAAATTTGAGGAGCTGAAACACCAGGCTGCAGATAAGGATTCATTAATCAAGTCTACTCAACTACAACTATCTGATGCAAAGGTATCTGTCTAATGCTTTTATGCTTCTGTTAAAATTCTTTGTGTTTTCAAATTTTGTGTAATCCATTTTAGAGCTCTTGCTTGGACATTTAGTATAATTTAATGTAATGGATTCTTGTTTTGATAGAATATTAGTGGAAGATATTACTATTTGACCTTATTGTTTTGATAGAATATTAGTTCAAACATTATCTAAATTCCAAATTTTGGTCTCAAAATCAGCGAATGACCCATTTTAATGGCAGGGTGACATTACCTAGCAATGGTTTGTGACTTCCAACATAAACTAAGATAGATACATATAGAAGGTGATATAATAATTTTCTTCAAATCAAAGGGTAAGTTTACCTGGCTGTATTTATGTCATCCATTACAAGATAACATAGGGAGCTTCAGTAGTTTGTTTTTAAGGCATGCTTTTTCAGTTATGTTTCTATTACTTATTTCTCTTTCTGTCTTTTTAGACGAGTTTGAAATTTTTGATGTGCAAAATAAACAAGTTAATTTTACAACTTAATGTGCTAAGATATTTTGTCTGATAAACTCAACTCAACAAGATCTTAAGATAGTCAGCTACAGGATCTTTTTCCAATTACTATTTGTAGTCAAACCCTCGATTTTAATATAGTCATTTTCTTTTTCCTTTTCTCCTCAAACCACAATTCTCTGAAGCCCACCTCCATTTCTTTTACCACCCTCCATGTTGATTAAATCACTCCTCTGTACAAGCGATTTAATTGGTCTATGATGCACATGATCATACCGTCTGAAAGACAAATGGTTTTCTCAATTTATGTCACTTCTATCTTATTTCTAATGAGTTCATTTCTTAATTTATCTTTTGTTGTAACACAGCTTATCCTTTTCAATATTATCATTTAATCTATACTCAATTTTTGAACATATTTTTCCTTAGTTGCCTAATATTTACTACCATACATTATAGTGGATCTTATAGCAGTCCTATAAAACTTTTTGCTTAACTTAATTGAAATCCTATGATTGCACAAGACTCTTGATGTATTCCTTAGTTTCTTCCATCCTGCCTAATTATGTACGACAAAAAAATGGTCTGAATTGAGACAAAGTGTGGTGTGCAAATAGAAGCTCCCTTGGCCCAATCTACAATCATGCAGTATTGCCTGAGAAGTACTCCCTTTTTGTGGACAACCTAGTTATTGTCTGTTTCTTCACTTCAAATTAACCAGTTTTCACCACCAAAAAAAGAAAAAAAAAGAAGAAGAGGTTTTCATAATTTAAACTCTTTCCTGATATTGGATTATGCTTGCTTAGTATGTGAATCAGTAATTTGCACTGGAAGTCACACACACACACACAAACAAACACGGGTGGGTGCACACCCCTTCTGTTGGAGAATTCTTGCATCGTTGTTACTACCTTCCTTTTTTCTGCAGATTAAGCTGGCTGACAAACAGACAGCACTTGAAAAATTACAATGGGAAGCAATGACTTCCAACAAAAAGGTGGAAAAGCTCCATGAAGACCTAGGTTCCGTGCAAGGAGAGATTTCATCATTTTTGTCGTTGTTTGAAGGCTTGACAAAGAATCATCCCACCATGTCTGCTGAAGATTATGATGTCACACCTTATCATTTGAATCATCTTCCTCATACGGTAAGCTCGTTAAACCCCCCACCACCATCACCTCTTCTGTGTTTCTGTTTAATTACTATTATTTTCTGAATTTTTGGTTGCATTTGAAGCATTGAATTCATGCTTAATTGGTAATTCTTAGGGTTTGCCAATTGCTTTTTTGCAGTTTTTTTGTGGGGTTCTCATTTTTTTTGGGTGAACTTTTTCATAAAATTTAAAAAAAAATTTACTTTTAGATTCTACTAGATTAGATGTACTTGAAAAGTAAAATAAAAAAAAAAAAGATTTTGAAACAAGTCTACTACGGACATAAAAAAAAGTTTATAAGTCTACCCTTTGGCCTTTTTTTGGGGGGTGAACTTAATTTGGATTTTTTCAAAAAAAAAAACAAAAAATTGTTTCTTAGATTTTTTTAGACTTTGAAAATTAAAAAATTTTGACTCAAATTTATAAAAATTTCACAAAAGACAAAAACAGTTCAAAAAAAAACAAATGTAACTTTTTTAGCAGTTGCCAAACAGAGAGGAGAAGACAGTTATGACTAATTTATATAGATACCCATCAACTTACTATGTATTGCCATAAAACGAGGCCTTTGGGTTCATGATTAACTTCAATCAAGTAAAAATATGCAGAATAAAATGTTAGTGGACTGATCAAAATCATCATAAGCAATTAGCCAGTAGTTTAGTTTATTTTATTTTAATTATTTTGTAAGGTCTTAAAAGGAATTGATGTAGACAGTTATGACTAATTTATATAGATACCCATCAACTTACTATGTATTGCCATAAAACGAGGCCTTTGGGTTCATGGTTAACTTCAATCAAGTAAAAATATGCAGAATAAAATGTTAGTGGACTGATCAAAATCATCATAAGCAATTAGCCCGTAGTTTAGTTTATTTTATTTTAATTTTTTTGTAAGGTCTTAAAAGGAATTGATGTAGGTCAGCAATTCATTTATCTTCTATTTGTTTGTTGGGTTGCTATACAACATGTTCGTTGAAAAATCTGAGTTGGTTTGAACAGGACGATTGGGACGAGGCAGAGATGCAGAAGATGGAGGAGGCTAGAGAAGCCTATGTTGCCATTGTTGCTGCCGCAAAAGAAAAGCAAGACAAAGATTCTATTGCCGCTGCTGCCACTGCAAGGTTACATCTTCAATAATTTGTTTTTGGAAAATCTGAGCAACCGAAGTCCCTAGTTGGGATTCCAGGCAACTACGCTAAGAATACATAAATTTTTCACATAACGGGATACAAATGTGAAACAAAGAGGTGAGACCTACCCTTTATATCACTTCTTTGTTCCGTTCTGTGAACTTTTTTTGTGCACTTAGATTTATCTCTTGATAAACATATGATTATTCACTCAAGATTGAACTCTCTTTGTTGTCCAATCTTTCATATTATGTGTTTGTAGATGTTCTCATGTGTGGGGTTCATCATTTGTCAAATGAAACTGAGGGAGGTGGGTTGGGAAGTTATATTAGTAATGCATTTTGGTAAATGAGATATTTCTTGTTTTCATTGGAAAGCATGCTTATTTAGATATTATGAGCTTTTTACAGTCGAACTCTGTCTCTTCATGAAGTTAGTTTGTTCCTTTCTCTTCATAAGCACTACATGACACTAACAAGTTGACATTTAAAATTAAAAAATAAAAAATAAAAATGAAACAAATAGTGTACGTATGAACTTAACTCTCACGCTTTGGTTAAGTGTGTTTAGCAAACACATTTTTATAAAAAGATTATTGCTAATCACATTGTTTACTTAGCATATAACACTGTTTGAACCATCTTTTCGGATTCTATTTTCGTAAGTCTTTAAATTCAAGTAAGAAAAAATGCCGTCAACATTGCTTTTCAAGGAAAACGAGATTGTTAATTATAAGTTGTCAAAATCTTGTTAAAAATTTTCACAATTGTCAGCAAAAAATTTGCTGTCAAATGGTCTAGTTTTTATTTTGCTTAAATAGTAAAAAAGTAACTAAAAAGTTATAGCCAAATAGAGCTTTGAGTTGAGCATGACTTGATCGTTTATGTTGATTCAAACAGAGCTTTCGATATGATGCTATTCTATATAAATTTTTTATTAAATTTGTATTATACTACTAACATTTTTTTTTAGAACACATACTATTATCATCAAAATCACAAAAATGCTAGTTGCACAGAATAAAAAAATTAAAAAATTGCATAGAAAGTACATTGTGCATTGAATTTATTTTAAATAATAACCCTATAAAAAAGGAATCAACGATTCAAATTTTTTTACTCATGAACCTTACACTTTATCAATTTAATTTTTACCACGTAAATATATTTAGAATAAATTATGAATTAATAAAGATGTGCCATTACATTTTTGTATTTGAAATATTACTCCGCACACGCATTGAATCTAAGCCCAAAAAATACACTATTTGTATACTTTTATGTGCCCCAATACCATGTATCTAGCATGTGACCATGATCGATGGAAACGACAAAGAAAAACATGGGTGGTGGCCTAGTGGAGAAGACATCCGTCTCCATAAGTGTGACTTAGGTTCGAATTAGTGGTAGATCTCTTTCTATGGGTTGGATCAAATCAGGCCGACAATCAATTATCCTGGGATCTAGACCCACAAATACAAAGATGATACCTCAAAGTATCTTCTTTTTTTTTTCATTCAAAAAAAGAAAAGAAAAGAAAAGAAAAGAAAAACAATTGTACTGCATACCACCCCCCAAAAAAATAGAAAAACAAAATGAAAAAACAAAATTTTATTCAAAATTTAAATGCGGATAATTTATTCTGCATATGACTCACAACACACTAACTCTAAATGCACATCATATACTTCATGATCATGATAAAATTTTGATTAAATTTTTATCTTAGCTAGAATTTTTTGAAGAAAAATACCTCAGAGAGAGAGAGAGAGAGAGAGAGAGAGGGGGGGGACAAAAAAAAAGAAAGAAAGAAAAGCGAAGTTTCAAAAATGACAACAATGAAGACGAGTAGCCAGGGCCTTGTGGCGCTTCCTAAAGTGGAGTGAGTTTGGTTTTGGCATTCGGACAGGGCTTCCCATCCCTTCACTGCACAATCTGCATATTTAATTCAAATATCCGTATTCACAACTATGATTACACAAACTAATAATAATCCCAAAAAAAGTAAAAATAAAAAATTAATAATAAAAAATGTATAGATTTAGAATAGTTGGTTGTAAGTTATAGTTGGGAACTTACATAGGGAAGGCAAACGAACTAGAGCTTCCATCCGATTGATCAGTGGAGGATTCACTTGATTGGGTGGTGGTGGTGGATAATACCATTTTACTTTCTTTAGTGATTTCTTCTTCTTCTTCTTGTTCTTCTTCTTCTTCTTCAATGATATCATTCTTCTCATCCACTCTCCAAACACCCCTATGCAATGTGGTGTCCATTTCCAAGTTCATGTTCCATTTTCCCTTTCCACCCTACAACAATATAATTTTTACTTTTCTCTTCAACTTATTTTATTTATTTTGATAAGTAAGCATTTTATTTCCAAAATAGAAAAACATATGCAATGATGAAACTCAATACAAGTCATTCAGTAATTTCAGAATATCAACTATCATTTTTCTAATATTCCCAACCAATAAATATAGTGAAAATTTTTACATATTTGACAATTGTGACCCACGTTTGTTAGACAGTTGAGATGAGAGATATGATAACCCACTTAATGTTTTTTAACGTTTCTCATTTATCAGGAACACTTCATAAATAATGTCATATGGTATTCTAGGACAACTTAATAATTTTTTCATTGTAAAATCATTTGCTCAATTTGGTAAAATTTTCTCTACTTTTCTCGTGATGGGTCCCCGCAAACAATATGTTTATTTGGCATTGTGGGAAAAAATTAAGAAAATAATATATGCTTGCACCATTAATTAGAATAAGAATGTTAAATAATAATTTTTAAATACTGTAACATGTATATATATATATATTGAGTTTAGCATATCTACCAAAGTGTGTAATGAGCTAGAAATCAGAATATATAACTAGTAGTATATAACTATTAGTATATTACTCTTATTTGAGTATAAGGCACAACATCAAGAGGCATTTTTTCACCTTTTTATTATAGGAGATAGAAGGTGACTCATTTGTAGGATAAATATATCTTTCCTATTCTTCATTCAACATATGATCATGGCCATGGCTTCTTGTACGACTACTGCCACTGTTGTAAGCTTTCTCTACATACTCACTACCATTTCTAAGCTGTTTTCCAAGACAAAAAAATGAAAATATGTGCATATTTGTTCTATTTCAAAATCAAGTTTAGTTAAAAAGTAATACAATTTTATACATCGATATAGCTAAAAATAAATAAAAATATAGATATGGTTAGGATGTCTACGAAAAAATATTTTTAGAATTTGTAATATTGCATAATGTATAACAATTAGAAAATCAAATGTAATATATGATTTATGCAAAACATAATTGTGTTAAGTATCAATGATCATCAATCCTAATTGGTCAGTCATCATAGATAGTAAATGAAAAAAAAAAAAAAAAAACAATACGGGAGATCAATGAATCTCTAGATAGTATTTTATAATTACAAAAATACCTTATATTTTTAATATTTCTAAAAATAAACACAATATAATTATTTCACTATCTTCATTTTTTTTAAATTATATTTATATCTCGACATAAAAATAAGAAAAAATAGCAAGTATTTAATTTGAGCCGATTAAATGCATAGAGTCTTATTCTTGAAACCTAAGTTATAATAGAACAACATTACTACAGTGTCAAATCCCGCCCTCAGTGTTTGAAACACGGAGAAGTGATTAAAAAAATGGATTTTCGCTAACCTTGTGATTGATAGGCCTTGTTGAGCTTCGGGTCATGCGATCAACATGATCAGACACTTCTGGCTTCCCATCCTGCACCACATGAATCCCTCCATCCTCTTTGAAACAAAAGATAATGTAATCCTCATCTGCAAAGTGTGGCCAGCTCGACTCATCAATCTCCTTCTCTTCTAACTCGATATTGTTACTTTGTGTTGAACTTGGGACTGTTTCTTTATCCCCATCGCATTTGTTATTGCACGAAGCCATTTTGTTCGTCTCATGAAAGGTTTTTTTGTTGTCACCATTAGAGTTAAACACCATGGTTCCTCTGGGAACTTGAGCTGTTGAAATGCAAAATGTATCTGGTTCTTTATCTACGTCACACCATTTTAATTAACTCAAGTAGTGTAGAGAGATAAAATGGGAATCACTTTGAGAAAATCAAAAAATAATTAAAAACATTTTTTTAAAATTGAAATTGCAGAGGAGTTGGGTTTTTGATCTTTTAAACAGGGTTCCATTTCAAGTGATAGAATTGACATCAATGAAAGATATTATTATAATTGACTGTAGATTTTTAAATAGGAAAATGTTTGGTGGCCCGAATTTGTGTGGATCGTATGTGTCAAAACGATATCGTTTTACACCTAAAACAACGTCGTTTTGGGTGTTTTGAGCCATTCAAGTCAAGAAAATTCGGGTCACCTATCATTGTTGTTTTAAATATATATATATATATATATATATATTTAATTTTTTTTTTATTATCACAACCATACTATTCCATTACAATTACCTAAGCTAAAGAATCTTAAGTTGAGGCAACCAAAAATATATTTAAAAAGAAATACACAAAAAGCTAACTTCAATAGAATTCTTTCATCAAATTTAAATTTGATGAATAAAGAGCTAAAAGTGAGCTCTAATGACATTAAACTTGTATTAAATCAAGGGAGAGACAAAACTTTTCCCAAATCAAGAACGAACCAACTCCTTCACTAAATTTCTAACAATCATATTTTTACTCAAATTTGATAAAATTTTAAAAACAATAAGGATTGGGGATGATTGTCTTTCAAAAAAAAAAGTTAAAACATGTTTTTAAAATAAGTTCTAAATTTTTCCACAAAAAAAAAAAAAAGATTGATGAAAAAAAGAGTAAAGATTGGAATTTTAACCAAAATTTTCTTCAAAGTTAATAAAAACAAGAGAGAGAGAGAGAGAGAGAGAGAGAGAGATTATAAGTCTGGATGAAATTAGAACTTTAAAACTTTGTGTTGGGTTACCTAAAGGAAATCTGCATGAGAGGAAACATGTCGCCCAATTCCTTATCATCCATGGTGTGCACATTGTTTAGAGAGAGAGAGAGAGAGAGAGAGAGAGATATGAGAGAGAGGCACCTGAATGGCAAAAGAAGAAGAGGTTGGAGTGATAGTGTAGAAGAAGGAATGGCAAATTTGAATTTGAAAAAAACATTGCATTCATGAAGAGAGAAATTTATGGAGATAAACATGGCAACATATTAATGTTTAAAACTTTATTGCAAGCAAAAATTCAAATTTATTCATATTTCATAATAATAATAATTATTCAAAAACAATCAAAAATCTATGTACCTAAAAAACATCTCGAAAATTACCTCAAAATTTAAGTATATGCCATAGATTCAAATTTTGTGGTGGTCATACTCAAATTATTCACATTTTTTTTTTTGGAGATAATTTTCAAGATTTTTTTTGGGTACCCAATATAAACAATTTAGAATATATCAACTACCTATTCTAATCTATAAAGTCAACATAAATTTTGTCACGCTTCTTTATTTTCCAATGATACCCATAAAAAGGTTACAAATTCAACCCATCTTTATTATTCATCAAATCGTCTAAAATTTTACATGTAAAATTACAAGCACATCGCTCGCTAGTATATATAAAAATCAAGTGGCTCTATTTGTAATAGTGTAACAAGGTAACATTGTATCCGATAATTGCATCCATTTGGTTCGTCGAATATGTCTTGGCTAAGCAGTATCTGCGAGCTAGCCTGAACATCCCCGTGCCTCCGACGACTGGCATTTCCCTAACATCATTTGCAATTGGATTCCGACCAATGACACCGAATGAGCTTCCATTGTAGGGACCGGTAATGAAGTTGTACGTAAGCGTCATCAGAAGGCTAAGTTCATCGTGCTAAGACGACATACCATAAATCCCTTGAGCGCGGCTCATCACATTTGAGTTCAGAGCATGAGTGACAGTGAGCGGGTTGTCCATCGTGTAGATGGATCCAAACATGGCTGCAATAGGGTTTGAGCCAGTAAAGTTGGACCGGCCGGCTACCCTAACTTCAGAAGGGTTCGGACCACCCACCGTGTCATGCATGTAGAACTCGACATGGGTTTGCTTGAGCTTCTTGGCCTCTGCGGCTTGAGAGACCACAAGGATTGCAATGGCAAAGAAGATCAAATGTTTCATTGCCAAAGCTATGTCAAGAATTCAATTGAATTGCTTATGTTTTTTGAGTCATATATATTGAAAACAGATGCATATAAGTAGTGAGCTGTTTTTCGACCAGGTAATGTTTGTTTTTTCAAAGCAGTTGAAAGATTGACCCTCCTCCATGTACGGATGTTATATGTTTCCGGACTGTTAAGGACAAAAATCTCCACGTGGCAAGTCCCCATTTGTTGTGGTCCATAGCAGGTGGGATTAGAAGGTAACTTCGAGGTTTTTCTAATGGAAGCTTCTTCTTCTCCCTCATATTATTCAAATTTTCTGAATGGTTTAAAAAAGACAGAAGGTGATTGGTAAACACGTCTTACACTATTTATTTAATTTTGAATTTAGCAAAACTTAAAATGTTAAAAGCCCTTGTGACACCAATAACCCTTGTGACACTTAAAATGGGTTCAGAAACCATTCCAACATTGAACAATTCCATTTTTTGTGTAGTTGGGCCATGCTTGTTTGAAAAGACCGAGTTACATGGGATTAGCATAGCATTCCAGTTAGTCCAAGGATTATCAATCCTTTTAGATTATATTTCGTATCGTATGTTTGGATTGATTTAAGATTACGAAGAGCGATGGACAAAATCCTATCAATGCTGCAATTTAAATTTGTATTCCACCATCGCTTGGATTCAATAGTCCCCACATGGGGATAGTGTGTCCACATGGACTATTAATCTAAAAATTCCAATTTTCTTAGTAAATATTAAGCATTTTGTTGGTTTATTAATTCAAATCTTGAAATTTAAATAATTAGTCCTAATCTTTTCTTAATCCTTCATTTTGTAACTATTAATTAATCCGAATTCTAACTTTGTTAATCAGGATTAAGCATTTTGATACAGTGATTCCATTTTCAATATTTGAGGTGACAAATAAACTGATTTGTGAAGTGTTGTTAAGTGACGATGAGCGGCGCAATATAAGGACTGAAGCGAGAGGAGATGCTAACCTGGAGGAGAGGACCAGGATACCAACCGGGCATGGATAGGAGGGCAGAGGCTGGGCCGATGGAGGCTGGGTCGATGGTGGTTGCCACCACCAGCGTCACCATATCTCCGATTGTGTTGCTAAAATGCGCCCGTACAACCCTTGTAATGCTTGGTATGTAAGGGCCAAAGGGAATGTTTCGCCTTAGAGTTAGCTGTCCAAATCCAAGTAGTGTCAGTCATCTTTCACCACTGAGATGATATTAATCTTTTTGCGAACTCATTCAAGTTGAAAGAGAGAAAATATTATACGAGGATTATGAAAATTAAAAATTAATCTTATAAAAATAAATATAAGATATTTTAAAAAAAATTAAAATTATTTCAGTCATGATTACTTTTAAGAAAAATGGCAGAAAAATGATAAGGACAAAAAAATTGCTGACTCAATGGCATTCCCAAACAAATTTCAAAAAATTAAAAAAATACAAAATAGAGAGGAGAGAGTAGAGCTTCTCTCTAGAAGATTTCTGACGATATTGCGGTGACCCCCTTTATATTTTTAAAGTGTAAATTTACACTCTTAGAATATAAATCTGTAATTTTAAAGTGTAAATTTGTACTTTTGATGTTTGCAATAGAGATTTTCAGAATTTTCTCCTTCGATTTTAGCATAAATTTTTAGATTTTCAATATCCACAATAGTTTCCTCCTCTCTCAAGCCTTCTCCCATACCATTGTGGGTGTACTTCTTTCTCAACTCAACTTCTGGCGGTGTCCAAAGTCCAACGACGGCGGTGGCGAAGTTGGACAGCGATGACAAGGAAGACATCAACTGGTACGGCAGGCTTTTCAAGCAGATCTTACTTGGTTTGATGTAGATTTTGCTTTCTAAACTACATCTTTGAGAAAAATTAGTGATTTTTCCTAAATCGTAATTAATTGGTTTTTCAAAAAAAAAAAAATGTATATATATAAAATGAAATGATGATATCATGAATTTAGAAAGACAAAACTACCCTTATCTTATTGTCTTCCCCCTTCATTTCTTCTACTCCCTCCGTCCCAAAATATTAGTCCTTTATTCCATTTTTTATTGTCCCAAAATATTAGTCCCTCTTTATAAATCAAGTACAAAAATAATATAAATTTCCTATTTTGTCCTCCTTTTAAATTAATAAACAATTTAAAAAGTACAATTATGACATTGATTTGAGGCTGGTTAAATACTAAACAAAATAAAATAAATAAAACACTATGGAAGAAAAATATATCAAAGAAAAAACTTATATAGTCCTATAACCCATCCCAACCTTGAGGGGGGAAATGTATAATTCATGCAAACTTGTTAAAGGATTTGTAGGGAGTAGAAAAAGCTAAACATGCTATGGTGAAGATGGTATAAAGTTTGAAAGAATATTTGCATTAAAACTTGGATTAATAGTTTGTGGGAAAGGTCTTGAAAGCTTAGCACGCCATTTTACATCATGATTTTTCTCTTTTTTGTATTTGGTGGGGGAAAGAAATTTTCAAATTTAACCCAACCAAATGAAATGCGGTGAATATGATGATAGGTCCTACTCTAGATTTACACTCAAAATGCATATGTTGGTGTATAAGAGATGTATAAGGGTCTCTAGGTGCCTTCCTCTCATCAAAAGACCCCAAATGGGAGTGTTCGGGTATTTATGTCAAGACTTCAACGGCTATTTTTTTCTAAAAATTTCCAAGGTATGGTCAACCATACTGACTCATAGTAGTTGTTCACATCCATCAAGATGGTCAACCAAATTATGATCACTGTAGTCTACCACATTTATGAGCATAGTCGACCATACGATGAGACAGACTAATCCTACTCTGTGGTCCTCTCTGTGGTCATCCATGCTACACAACATGGTCAAACAAGCTGAGAAACTTAGGTTTTTATGGTCTTTGTTTGTTTGTAGTAACTTGGTTCTATCCTAATTCAAAACCTTCTTCATGCCGATGAAACTCTTCCACAACACTTAATGCATGCCGAAGAAAATCTCCCATCACTTCAAGCTTCTATGGTGTTGTAGGTAGTCAAATGTGCTCTCTTCATAGTAGTGACTTCAGTTCTATAAGAGAGACCTATTTTGATTTGTGTGACATCTCTAACAAATAATGCAGATGTCGAAACTAACCATTTTATGGTGCTGGGCAAAATTAGCATCCCCACAATTTCAAGTTTATAGTAGTTTTTCTTTTTACACAAGATGAGCATTTAAAGTATGATAGCAGGGCTTTCTTTGCATCAAGGGGATTATGTGAACTTCCAATGTACTTGGCAAATACCTAACTTGTTTAATCACCTTATGAATGATCTCATAATTGATTCATCCACTGATTGCTAATTTGCATTTATACTGTTCGATTGATAAGATTTTGTGAGAGAAGAAATGAAAAATGAGAGCTTGGGTTGGGGTCGCTCTTGTAGAAATTCCAGGTTTTATGCTCTTACAAAATCTTAGCAATCAAACACAGCATTATGGTAAACTTGGTTTTATGTCTATGTATTAAAATAAAAAACAATTCTTTGGTGGGAATGACTAACTTGTGATCAAGATGTGCCATAACTTCACCCCCTGGAAAAGCTGCCTTTGTAGTCTCACAGGCAACTTTGATTGCTTCTCTCCAAGTTCCACCAACACCCTCCACATTTGTCTGTTTAGATTGACCCAGATCTTCCATAGGCAATGAATACCCAGAAAGCAGATGGCCCACAAAAACACCACCTTTCCTGAATTTTTTTTTTTTAAAAAATGGAACTTTTTAATAACAAGAGCCTTTACAACCTCAACTTAGGCATCAAAATTTGAGAATAAAATATTTTAAATGTTAATTTTATTAATTGAAATTTGAAGTTATTTATGAACCCCCAAACAGGACCAGGCTAGTATTCACGCATAATGAAATCAATGCAGATATAGTTTAAGCAAAATGTTTAGTTTGTAGTGATAGCAACAATTTCAAAGAGAAAATTGAAAATATTGAACATTGACTTCAGGTGAAAAAAACACTGATGCAAACAGAATTTTCATCAGAATTTGAAACTGGCAATGGTGCCAACAGAATTTTCTTGCTTTTTTTTGTGCGAGTTCTTTTTTATATATTTTTTTAGTAAGGAACTTCAGTTTGCTTCATCAACTGAAACATGAGTTTTCTGTTAGGAAATAACACCAATTGAAACAAAAACAAATCTAAACGGATATAAATGTAGGAATTAGGCTGAGGACAAACCACCAGAAGCAGAGTTCTGAGTTATTAGAATCTTTTAATCTTGACTCCTTTTCACATTCAGTTGATCTAAATGAACATGGCTTAAAAGGATAGATCTATTTATCTTGACAAGTTTGATGTATTAAAATATTTCACTGTTTCCAGTCAAAACATTACCCTGATCTAAGGAATCTGGTCCGTTGATGCCCTTTTAAATCATTTAGCATATTAGATAAACAAACTACTGGAATACTTGGAAGTTGGAAAATGTATAGCACGCCATTTTACATCATGATTTTTCTCTTTTTTGTATTTGGTGGGGGAAAGAAATTTTCAAATTTAACCCAACCAAATGAAATGCGGTGAATATGATGATAGGTCCTACTCAAACAAATTATCTAAAACTTTCCTACAATGAAAGAGGATGGAAAAGAAAGGACTGTATGGAAGCACCTGTGCAAAGCAAAGACAGCAGAAGGAAACCAAAATGAGAAATGTCAAGAATCTTTCAACCAAACCCAACCAAATGAAATTGTAATGATTATGATGATAGGTCCTACTTTAACAAAGTAGCTAAAAGTTTCCTATAATTAAAGAGGATAGCAAATGCACTAAGAGGAACCCAAATGACAAATTCAAAAACGACTCATTCGGTCACAAATTCAAAGTTTCCTATTATGATTAACAAGAAGATTTTGATCTCCAAAGTCAGCAAACTAACAAAAGCTTTTCATATTATCAATACAAAAAGACAAAAATTACATGGAAAGAAATGGCACAATACAAGAAGAGTCATTGAGAATTGATCCATGTTCACAAACTTATATCCACTCCAGCTAATCAGGGAACATACACATGTATATATATACATCTATAAGAAAGAAAGAAAGAAAGAAAAAGATACTCAACTAAAGCAATGTCTTGGGCAGCATCCCGCCTCTTCCAGTACTCTTCTGTACTGCCTAGAAACAGAAGGAAGCAATTTGCAATGAATTAAATCATAAAAATATCCAACTGGGAATTAAGATTGACAAAGATAATTTCAGGTTTGACCTGTCTATTGCTTTAAAAACAAGCTATTGCATATCAAACATGGGGCGGAAAACAAAAAAACTGTAAAACATAATCTTATCTTCAAAAAATTGCAAATTGTAATATTAATAAAACTGGCAGGATTTGTGAAGAGAAGTATACCGATTTCTACAAACATTGTAGGTGAATTAATTTCAGGTCCATGATGAGTCGCTTTCAATGTGACCTACACCGAGCAATGCCAATAGGAAACAACCCACCCTATGTATGTGTGCTCACACATGAAAGCATACTTAAAATGTAAATAAAAATATATATCTACCAAAAAAGGAAAGCCATGCAAGATAAGGAAAGATACACTGTAAAAAGATAAAATATATGTTTATTATAATAACAGTAAAATTATTTTATAGGTAAAAAAGAGAAATGGCAGAACTCAAACGAAATTACATGCCAATCAAGGCTAAACTAAAACAAATTCTAGATTAACTCAAGCTTTGGGGATATTTATGAAGTGTCATAATTACTTTCTTTTGAACTTTTGAGGGCATGTTCCAACTCTTGTAAAACGAGGTGGGCATAGAAAGTAAATGGAGAAAGGATTCAAGATTTCAAATTATTAAAAAACGGCATTCCAAATTTCCGATAAGCAAATTTACATGAACAGAGTGCAAAACGAGGTCAACTAACTCGAGAACATTAGTGGTGAGTGTCTACTAACCATATACATGCATGCAATTTCATTTTTTCCTTCCTTGCTTGTTCAATTCACCACATTTGGGCATGTTTCGAATTTTATACTTTTTAAAACTATTTAATTGAATTTGGAAAAAAGTAGGTCACTCACTACATTTTAGGAAAAAAGGGGAAACATGGTTGAAGATGGGAGATAGTAGAGAGCCAGATAATAAAAATGAGAATTAGGTATAATTATTTTGAATACTTTTAAAATGATGGAGGAGCTTAGAATCTAGTAATTTAACAAAATAAGTGATAATTAAAAAGACTAACAATGTGTTACCTCAAATTCAGGAGTGAGATTATGTGATTCAGCAATAGCCTTCAAGAGCCACAACCACGGTCCTATTCGAGGATTAGGTGGTGCTGCCCACCCGGGCTTTCCACCTGCAGGTGGCACCTTGTCTTGGCGTAAATGAGGCATGCCTAAACCAAATGTCACACACAGAAAACATTGCACGACGACACATAATCAGTGCACGTAATGCATATCACAGCAAGTAATTCGAGGAACAGTGAATCAAAACCTATCAGCATAGTTTTAGTACCAATTGAATGAACAGTAAGTGCGGGACGATTTGAGGCTGCCGTGTGCTTGCTCAAAAATATGACCTCATCGACAACTTCTCCAGTCGCCTCCTCCCAACGCTTGTCCAAGTGATCCTCCCTTACAATACTCTTATCATGCTTCAGTAACCTCACTGCCCTATTCATAAAACTCGACATATCCTATACACAAACCCGCAAAAATTTAGTCCTAAACCAATATAATCATGATACGAATTCATACATTTGTCATAAGAGGCTTTAACCATTTCACATTTTTCTTTAAATTTAAATTAAACAGATAGTATATCGAAAAACTTTATTATCAAACTACAAAAAACCGTGATTAACAACCGCACCAATTTTTTCTTAATGCATATCACTATTTGAACTATCTTTCCGCATTCTATTTTTCCCCAAGTGTTAAAAACCAACAATACTTTCACCAAAAAAAAAAGGTGATTGGTAAACACGTCTTACACTATTTATTTAATTTTGAATTTAGCAAAACTTAAAATGTTAAAAGCCCTTGTGACACCAATAACCCTTGTGACACTTAAAATGGGTTCAGAAACCATTCCAACATTGAACAATTCCATTTTTGGTGTAGTTGGGCCATGCTTGTTTGAAAAGACCGAGTTACATGGGATTAGCATAGCATTCCAGTTAGTCCAAGGATTATCAATCCTTTTAGGCCATGTTTGTTTGGGTAGACATGAGCTTGAGATTGGACTAATAGTCCAATAAAATTATTAATCCGATGTTTGGTTAAACAATTGAAATATGGACTAATTATTTTAAACTTGACTATTAGTTAAAATAGGATACATAATCTAACAGATTCATAGTCCTAGGACTATTAGTCATGGGAATGCTAATCCAGTCCGCCCAAACAAACATGGCCTTAGATTATATTTCGTATCGTATGTTTGGATTGATTTAAGAATACGAAGAGCGATGGACAAAATCCTATCAATGCTGCAATTTAAATTTGTATTCCACCATCGCTTGGATTCAATAGTCCCCACATGGGGATAGTGTGTCCACATGGACTATTAATCTAAAAATTCCAATTTTCTTAGTGAATATTAAGCATTTTGTTGGTTTATTAATTCAAATCTTGAAATTTAAATAATTAGTCCTAATCTTTTCTTAATCCTTCATTTTGTAACTATTAATTAATCCGAATTCTAACTTTGTTAATCAGGATTAAGCATTTTGATACAGTGATTCCATTTTCAATATTTGAGGTGACAAATAAACTGATTTGTGAAGTGTTGTTAAGTGACGATGAGCGGCGCAATATAAGGACTGAAGCGAGAGGAGATGCTAACCTGGAGGAGAGGACCAGGATACCAACCGGGCATGGATAGGAGGGCAGAGGCTGGGCCGATGGAGGCTGGGTCGATGGTGGTTGCCACCACCAGCGTCACCATATCTCCGATTGTGTTGCTAAAATGCGCCCGTACAACCCTTGTAATGCTTGGTATGTAAGGGCCAAAGGGAATGTTTCGCCTTAGAGTTAGCTGTCCAAATCCAAGTAGTGTCTGTCATCTTTCACCACTGAGATGATATTAATCTTTTTGCGAACTCATTCAAGTTGAAAGAGAGAAAATATTATATGAGGATTATGAGAATTAAAAATTAATCTGATAAAAATAAGTATATGATATTTTAAAAATTTTAAAATTATTTCAGTCATGATTACTTCTAAGAAAAATTGCAGAAAAATGATAAGAACAAAAAAATTGCTGACTCAATGGTATTCCCAAACAAATTTTAAAAATTAAAAAAATACAAAATAGAGAGCAGAGCTCCTCTCTCTAGAAGATTTTTGACGATATTGCGGTGACCCCTTATATATTTTTAAAGTGTAAATTTACACTCTTAGAATATAAATCTGTGATTTTAAAGTGTAAATTTGTACTTTTGATGTTTGCAATAGAGATTTTCAGAATTTTCTCCTTCGATTTTAGCATAAATTTTTAGATTTTCAATATCCACAATAGTTTCCTCCTCTCTCAAGCCTTCTCCCATACCATTGTGGGTGTACTTCTTTCTCAACTCAACTTCTGGCGGTGTCCAAAGTCCAACGACGGCGGTGGCGAAGTTGGACAGCGATGACAAGGAAGACATCAACTGGTACGGCAAGCTTTTCAAGCAGATCTTACTTGGTTTGATGTAGATTTTGTTTTCTAAACTACATCTTTGAGAAAAATTAGTGGTTTTTCCTAAATCGTAATTAATTGGTTTTTCAAAAAAAAAAAAATGTATATATATAAAATGAAATGATGATATCATGAATTTAGAAAGACAAAACTACCCTTCTCTTATTGTCTTCCCCGTTCATTTCTTCTACAACTTTGGCTAGCTACCACCCTAGCTCATTTTCTTGTTGGGATCGTCTGTGACGTGTGGTTGAGCTGCATTAGTGTCTCGATGGTGGGTCCTTTCTTATGGATTGGATGAAATTAGGCCAGCAATCGGTTATCTCGGAGCCTAGACCTACGAATATAGTGATGATACATCAGAGTATCATTTTTTTTCGTTAAAAAAAAAAAAAGAACAGAAAAACAATTGTACTACATACTACGCCCTCCAAAAAAAAAAAGAACAAAAAATTTTTATTCAAAATTTAAATGCGAACAATTTAATCTGCATATGACTCATGACACACTAACTCTAAATGTACATCCTATACTTGATGCTCATGATAAAATTTTGATTAAATTTTTATCTTAGCTAGAATTATTTGTAGAAAATAACCGAGAAAGAGAGGGGGAAAAAAGAAAGAAAAACAAAGTTTCAAAAACAACAACAGTGACGACGAGCAGCCAAGGCCTTGTTATAACGCCCCAACCCTTTACATGTCATCGATATTATCCTCTTTGGGCCACGCCTGCACAGATTTGTTCTTTCCAGTAGGTCATCTATCCCAGAACTACTCCAGCCTAAACACACTTAACTGGGAAGTTCTAATAAGAATCTCACCACCTAGGAAAAGGCCTCGATGCTATATAAGGGTCTAGGTTTTTACTTTTATAGCCTAGGAACTCTCCCTCCATTCCTGATCTGGAACACTAGGGCCTTACAATTCACCCCCCTTAAGGCTGTACGTCCCTGTGCAGTAGCCTTTTAGCTCGCAAGCCCGCCCACATGCACCGAGAGACGCTAGGGGCCCACACTTGGTACTCTAGAGAGTCGGCTCTGATACCATTTATAATGCCCCAACCCTTCACATGTTATCGATGTTGTCCGCTTTGGGTCACGCCTGCACAGATTTGTTCTTCCCAGTAGGTCACCCATCCTAGAACTACTCCAGCCTAAGCACGCTTAACTGCGAAGTTCTAATAGGGATCTCACCACTTGGTAAAAGGCCTTGGTGCTATATAAGGGTTTAGGTTTTTACTTTTATAGCCCAGGAACTCTCCCTCCATTCCCGATGTGGGACACTAGGGCCTTACAATAAAAAGTTTGGGGATAATGAATCTGTCAGACAACCTCTTGACCGTTACAACCAGTTTGCATTAGCTAAGAATGATCCCCTGTGTATCTGTGGACCAGCAAGCCGCGCCACAGAGCCTCTAATTACGCTCTAGTCAAGAGGCTTTTGTTCATCCACTAGATTTTAGGTCCTAACTCCCTAAAGCTTAAGGATTCCGAAATACAATCCTATAGAACAGATCAACAATACCCAAAAGCTTAAGTCCAAGTTATTTAGTAGCAAGGTAGTAGTGCTTTATATGCCCAAGATCACCCATGCAAACTTTCGATGTGGGACAGGGTGTTACAAACTCCCCCCACTTATAAATCCTCGCGTCCTCGCGAGGGTCTATAATCAATCAAAATACCACGACAAGCTCGTGGCCAGCCTAGAATAAGTGGCTCACATGGTTGTGTGCATGGGTCAGCTTTGATACCATTTGTAATGCCCCACTACTTGCTGGCCCAAGTAACCTGTGGGTTGACCAACAATACCCAAAAGCTTAAGTCTAAGTTATTTAGTAACAATGTAGTGGTGTTTTATATGCTCAAGATCACCCATGTAAACTTTCGATGTGTGACAGGGTGTTACACTTGTGGTGCTTCCTAAAGTGGAGGGAGTCTGGTTTTGGCATTTGGACAAGGCTTCCTATCCCTTCACTGTACAATCTGCATATTTAATTCAAATTTCCATATTCATAACTATGATTACATAAGCTAATAATAATCCCAAAAAAGTAAAACAATAAAAAATGTATAGATTTAGAATAGTTGGTTGTAAGTTATAGCAGGGAACTTACATAGGGAAGGTAAAAGAACTAGAGCTTCCATCACATTGATCAATGGAGGATTCACTTGATTGGGTGGTGCTGGTGGATAATACCATTTTACTTTCTTTAATGATTTCTTCTTCTTCTTTTTCTTCTTCTTCTTCTTCAATGATATCATTCTTCTCATCCCCTCTCCAAACACCCCTATGCAATGTGGTGTCCATTTCCAAGTTCATGTTCCATTTTCCCTTTCCACAAAGATTCTATTGCCGCTGCTGCCACTGCAAGGTTACATCTTCAATAATTTGTTTTTGGAAAATCTGAGCAACCGAAGTCCCTAGTTGGGATTCCAGGCAACTACGCTAAGAATACATAAATTTTTCACATAACGGGATACAAATGTGAAACAAAGAGGTGAGACCTACCCTTTATATCACTTCTTTGTTCCGTTCTGTGAACTTTTTTTGTGCACTTAGATTTATCTCTTGATAAACATATGATTATTCACTCAAGATTGAACTCTCTTTGTTGTCCAATCTTTCATATTATGTGTTTTTCAAATATTTAACACAGTACACATGTTTGTAGATGTTCATATATATATATATATATATATATATTTTTGATCAGCAAAACAAAGGAACTTTATTGATAGTTAAAAATTGCATCAATAAAAAGGTTGTATGCAAAAGCATCAAAGCAAAGCAAAATGATCCCAACTAGGTTGGCACCAATAAATAAGCCCAATCATTTGCTAGCATGATAACGAGTTGGTGAGAAACCAACCAAAAAAAAAAAAAAACTAGCTAAACAAAGAAAAAACCACAGGTGCAACACCAAGAGTTAAGAGCAGAAATCACAGCAGTAACAATGACAGAGTGAAGAACAATAACAAGCAGCACCACAAGCAACAACAAGCACTGAGTCAACCTATTCCTTTGCTACAGAACTTGATTTGTTGCAAGTTAAACAAGAAGTCATTGACAGAGAAAGGTATACCAGGAGTTGAGGCTCTAACCCACAAGGCAACCCTAGTTTCAATTTGATCACACAGACCAGAAAAATCTGGTTACTTACCAGAAAACACCACCTCATTCCTATGCTTCCAAATGGACCAAAAGGTAGCAAGAGGTAAAACATTCCAAACTTTTCCCTCAAATCTGTTACTAGTAAAACCAGCCCACAACTGTAACACACCTTCTACTGATGCAAGCATAACCCATTGTGACCCCCACCAAAGAAAAATATCAGCCCAAACCCTCCAAACAAAAGAACACTACATAAATAATGTCATATGGTATTCTAGGACGAGTTAATAATTTGTTCATTGTTAAATCATTTGCCTAATTTAGTAAAATTTTCTCTACTTTTCTCGTGATGGGTCACAAACAATATTTTTATTTGGCATTGTGGGAAAAAATTAAGAAAATAATATATGTTTGCACCATTAATTAGAATAAGAATGTTAAATAATAACTTTTAAATACTGTAACATGTATATATATATTTCTTTTGAGTTTAGCATATATACCAAAGTCTGTAATATATATACCAAAGTGTGTAATGAAATAGAAATCAGAATATACAACTGTTAATATATTACTCTTATTTGAGTATAAGGCACAACATCAAGAGGCATTTTTGCACCTTTTTGTTATATGAGATACAAGGTGACTCATTTGTAGGATAAATATATCTTTCATATTCTTCATTCAACACATGATCATGGCCATAGCTTCTTGTACTATTGCCACTGTTGTAAGCTTTCTCTGTATACTCACTACCATATCTAAGCTGTTTTTCAAAACAAAAAAAAAATGAAAGTAAGTGCATATTTGTTCTATTTCAAAATCAAGTTCAGTTAAAAAGTAATACAATTCCATACATCGATATAGCAAAAAATAATTAAAAATACAAATATGGTTAGGATGTCTGTGAAAAAATATTTTTAGAATTTGTAATATTGCATAATGTATAACAATTAGGAAATCAAATGTAATATATGATTAATGCAAAACATAATTATGTTAAGCATCAATGATCATCAATCCTAATTGGTCGGTCATCATAGATAGTGAATGAAAACAAAAAAAAAATGACTATAAGGGAGATCAATGAATCTCTAGGTAGTATTTTATAATTTTATAATTACAAAAATACCTTATATTTTTAATATTTCTAAAAATAAGCACAATATAATTATTTCACTATCTTTATTTTTTAAAAATTATATTTATATCCTGACGTAAAAATGAGAAAAAATACCAAGCATTTATTTTGAGCCAATTAAATGCACAGAGTCTTATTCTTGAAACCGAAGTTATAATAGAACAACTATACTGCAGTGC